TATATATGTATAATATATATATATATATATATATATACTTTTTTTAAACTAATGACTTTAATGCAAAAACTCTGCAGAACCAAGAAAAATATGGGTTTAATGTTCTCTGCTTATTTTTTTCTCTTCTTTTTTAAAAAAAGTACACCCCCCCAAAGGAAAAAATAAAAAGGGAAACATTAGTATGTAATGTTGGAGTCTATCCCATTTATACACAACATTGTAAACATATAGTCTATATTACATGTGCTTCATTCTGCCTTTGTGGGTGTGAAGGTATAGGTTTTTTCTTTGATTAAAAAAATCCACTAGAACACCACAAATAAAAAGAGGGTGGGAAGGAGAATGCAGGTTACAGGTTCTGACAGTTCCTGCGATGGAAGATCCAGCACCTTCTCATGCTTCCCTGAAAAGGCTTGTAAGTTGTCCACAATGGAACCCCAACTCTTGGAGAAATGGGACAGACGTGGAACAGCAGTTTGTAAAAAAAAGAAAAAAGAATCACAATAAGGATTCTGGTTTGGCCTTCTTGTGGAGTTGGCAGCACCAGTGACAGGTTCGGAAGCAGAGGCATCGTGCAGCTCCCTCAGCCTCTAGTCCACTTTTGGAGTCTTTAGTTTCAAGTGTCTGTGTTGCTGCCACTCCTTTCCCCTAGTCCCCATGGTTCAAGCAACCTGGTCTCAGCAGCCATCTTTTTCATAAGTAGATGCGCCTGAGGTCCCCTGGTGAGGTGATGGTATTGCACTGAGGGCACAGCTTCTTAGCACCCTGTGAAGGATTGAGAACAGAGTTATGAAGCACAAGGATGCTATCTCAGTCACATCGTAACAGAAGAAGACACAAAAGGAAGTAGTCAGAAGTGGCAAACTGTGTCCAACCATTATAGGAAACAGGCTATAAATGGTAGCTTCCATGAATACTGTGCAACTCAAAATTTGAAATGTTTTTGAGTAACTTTGAAGTATTAAGCATGTAGCTTGCATGTATAATAAAAATGTACTCTTAACAAAATTAAATATATAGCCCTAAAAGCTAAGCTTGAGTCAAACTACAAAAACCCCAAACCCCTTAACTGCAGAATATGAGTAACCTTGACCATGTTTTTATGCGGCCATTTTAGATCTAGTAGCCAACAGCAATGAACCTATATTTCAGGTTGGCACACCCAAAAAAGCCATCTACAATGGTAAAAAAAAATTGAAACAAAGAAAGGCATGTGATATATAAAGTAAATGAAACAAAACAATGCCTAATACAGTCCTGTGAAAAAGTCCATCCCACTGATTTTTTTTACTTTTTCAACATACAGATATTTGATCTTCATTTCAACAACCGATAGATATAGGGGATACAATATAACAAATATCATATACCATTTTCATGCTGTAGTCCATTGTGTAACTTAAATAAATATAAATGCAAATTTTGTATGTGGAAAAAGTAAGTACACCCCTACATTTATCACTACCTCAAGGATCAGGTGCACCAGATCAGGTGTAAATGATTAGAATATCATTAGAGAAGAACCTGTCATTTAAACCTCAGACATTTGGTTTGATTTACTCTTTGTTGTTGAAGTGTGTTGTGACACCATGCCTAGATTAAAAGAGCTCTCTGAGGCCTTCAGAAAGAAAGTTATAGATGCCTATGGGTCTGGAAAAGGATTTAAAAAGATCACCAAACAATTGGACGTCAATCATTTCGCTGTCCAGAAGATCATGTACGAGTGGAGAAGAATTCAAACAACCACTAACTTGCCTAGGACAGGCTGTCCCAGCAAGCTCAGCCTGAGACCAAAATGCAAGATGCAGAAAGAAGATAATGTCAGACCATCTGTCAGAAGATTGAAGCTAAACCGAAAATGGTATTTGCAACATGACAATGACCCTAAACATTCCAATAAATCCACCAAGAATGGCTAAAAAAAGGAAGAAGAAGAAATGGAGGGTTCTGGAATGGCCAAGTCAAAGTCTGGATCTAAATCTAATTGAGATGCTTTGGGATGATTTGAAACAGGCTGTGCAGGCAAGAATCCCCTCACACATCGCACAACTGAAAAAATTATGCATGGAGGAAAGGGAAACATTTTCTCTCAGTCAATTCAGAGACTGGTAGACAGTTATAAGAAATGCCTACTTGACGTTGTTTCTGCCAAAGGGGGCAATGTCAGGTATTAGAGCTGAGGGTGTACTTTTTCCACGGAAGGAAATGGAAAATTAATGTATCTGTTAATTTTTTGTTGAATAAATGATTGCAAAGTCAAATTTTCATGGTTTTTTTGTTCAATTACCGTCACCTTTATATACAATTTGAATGAAGATAAAATATTGATATGTCCACATAGGTTAAAAAAGAAAAAAAAACTTTACATGAGGTGTACTTTTTCATAAGACTATATATCATTTGTCAATTAATCTGACAGATAATTCTATATCTCAGAATTAGGATAAAATATCTGAGTTATCAGTTGATCAGTTGGTATGAAAGAAAGCAGATGAAAAAATGAAGACAACAACTGTAGCAACCCATTTCTTAGAAACAAATACAGCTTGGAAAGGCACTGTGAAATGCAGCATGATGAAATTAAAAGTTAGCTTCTAACTTTGGCTGGTTCCCTGTCTGTGATCCTATCTCCCTCTTGTCAATATATTCACAATATTGAAACCACAGGTTTCACCCTATGCAAGAAATGTAAATGTTTCTGAGATGGAGAAAGTAGTCAACAGATAAAATTTTGAGCTGTCCAAAATCATGGAGAGCAGTAAAACTGTTTCCATGAAGTTGCTAAAATGTACAAGCTTGGCAGAATTAAAAATATTAGCATTAGCGATGACCAGTATGTTTTACATCTGGACTTGATTGAAACTGGGGGTGGGGGGTGGGGAAGGCAAGAGAAGCCCTGCAAAATAGTACAACACAAATTTGCCTATATCCATATTTCTTTGTGACAGCAGCTCTCAGATCTTACTATATTACACTCAGCGCACACTCCAACTCAGAGTAGCTGCAGAGAATAGCATGTTTTTATTCCACAAAGATGGGAATGCTAATCTTAAAGGCTAACAAAGCAATCCAAAATGGGGTTGGTGAAAAATGGAATCTAATAGCAGGATGTTGAGCTCAGTAGATCATTGTATTTCAAATGTTCCCCACTGAAATAAATGGGGGACAGTAGCTACACTAGTTCCCAGCTGGTATAGATAATGGATTCAAATAAATTTGTCTGAAGCCCATTGTGGGAATGTTACGTCTTTGTATCCAGCAGAGTCAAAATTGGCTTGGACAAAGTGGGACCCTCTACAAGGGAAATCTCTCCTCCTGGCAGAACAACACCTCCTCCACCATATCTTCACACCAGGCAACATCAGAAATTAGAACTGTACTTTCGGAAACCAAGAAGAATCTGGTCGATAGTTGAAATTTCTCTCAGAACCTCTTACAACTTTTGGCTTTACAGTGTCTCAGGAGATTCAATGCTCATCTTTTGCAACTCACATACACACAATATAAACACACACACACACACAAATACATATGTGGTGAAAATTTGGATTATGGTCTTAATTCAGCCATTCTTCTACAAACAGAGGAGTTCCACTGGCAGAACAGGACAACAGCTAATCTTTGTTGATCCCAATTTTCATTATGTGGCAGTACTTGGTGTTGCAAAGGGGGAGGGGAATCAAGAAAATACCTCTGCCTCCCTATCTGCCAATGAGAGATATACGCCACTCGGGAATGCTTCCCCTACAGCAAAGTAAGCACTCTGGATGAATTCCTATGAGAATGTTTAAAGTCACAGCTAAATTTAGATATGTAAGACACATTCTCAAATGCTTATTCAGTGAATTATCTTGCATGAAAATCTACTGTAGCCAAATCTCAAGATTGTAACTTTGCGACATTTTGTATTCTAACTACAGTAGTATACAACTGCTTGTATACAACTATATAAGACTAAATAATAAAATAAATTAAAAAAAAACTTTAATGTGAACAACATTCTAAGAATAGGCAACCCCTCTGAGGCATACAGTGTATCTGAGTTGAATATAAAACTGTAAGACGTGCTGATTATATCCAAGAAAAAAGATTGGGTGCAATATACTGTACATTTGAACACTTGCAGAGCCATTCTCAATGTAAACATTTCTCAATTCTGCATGAAACACTCTATACAAGCCTCAGACACGTGCACTGGCACACAGCCAATGAAAAAGGATTTCCTTCCCACAACTCCATCTAGCTCACCTGCCAGATGTGATTATTAAATTTTGTTTTGAAATAAAAACTGGAATAATATGCCACACTGTTGAATATGGGGAAAAAAATCAGAAATGTCCTACTCCTTTCATCGTGACCCATGGAAAAATCTTGATGGGTAACAGAAGTATATGCTGACTGAAGGCCACCTCAGGTTTTCCATTATAAAGTTTTCCAGGTTTTATAAAACACGGCTGCAAAATGTAGCTCCGGGGTAAAACACAGCACCAAAAAGAAATAATTAAGATAAATTTTTGTTTGCCTCAAATTTTCTTAATTAAAATTTGGCAGGTATTGATTCTGAATGTTGATTAATCATTTTGAGGAGTTCAAAAAATAATGAGTGCAATCCACTTTTAAAGTCATTACTTCTCTCAACGTATCAGAAGAACAGTACCTTGACAAAAGGGCAGGGAACTTTGCTTTAAGCTTTAAAACTTGAAAGCTGAACGTTCGCAGTCCAAGCTACTTTCTAGGCTAGAAAAGAGGAACATTGCCACTGGAGATTATTTAGAGATAAAGTTGATCTGTACCTACTGCGAGAGAAGTATGTGGTCACAAAATATGCATGAGGTAAAAACAGGTACACATATCAAAGTGTGGAAAGGACATTGGTTACAAGATTCTGAAATGAGCATTTGTTGTTGTTCAGTCGTTAAATCGTGTCCGACTCTTTGTGACCCCATGAACCATATTGCGCCAGGCCTTCCTGTC